TGCCCCAACCTGATAAGCAAGGCCACTATCAATGTTCAAAAAAAGGAAGCAATCTCTTCCTCCTAAAATTGTTTTTTTCCCGACTGTGTACATTTTCACAGAAAGTACCTCTCTGACGTGTTCTGCATCTAATCTTGCTCCATCATCAATTTTCTAAAGCAATATCTCAAACCCATATGGAGCTTTTCATGACAGACTGTGAAAAGCTAAAAACTCATTCTACCTAACTTCAACACCCGGTTTCTTCCATCAACTAGAAACCAGATTGAGGTAAGTCAACTTTTAGCTGGAGCTGGCTATAGAATTATTATCTGGAAAGTCATAGAGGACTGTCATTGTTAACATGTGACATGTGAAATGTATAGCTGAGACTGTAAGTATTTATTGTACGTAGAAGAACCATCTAGGATTGTCAACATACATCACATTCTGAATATTCTCCATAACGGAAGTTTTTTTTTTTTAAAGGCATTTCATGAAGTCTTTGCAAAAATTCACTTTATACTCAAAATGTCTTTGAAATTTAAACTACTCAGGGCTCCATTCTTTTCCAAACTCTGCATTTATTTACAACATATTTTTGCAGGTAAACTAAAGTTCTTCAGTTCTCCATCTAAGTCAATCAGTAGAATGAATGGTTAAGCAGTCCTCATATCTGGAAATCTGTAAGTTACCCATTTCCAGTTAATTCTCAAAGGACCAATCTTTATGAAAGCAAAATAAAAATACTCCACTATAATAGAACTTAACATCAGGTTGGAGAATGGTAACAATTATGGAAAGAGATGAGAGGGAGAGGGAGGGAAGGAGAAAGAAAGAAAGAAAGAAAGAAAGAGAGAGAGAGAGAGAGAGAGAGAGAGAAAGAAAGAAAGAGATGGAGAGAGAGAGAGAAAGAGAGAGAGAGAGAGAGAGAGAGAGAGCTCAATAGAACACTTCAATCCAGTTGAAGCTTCATGCTTGATGACCAAAGAATAATGTTTTCTACAATGGGATAGAAAACTAAGGAATATGACAGTGATGGCGAACCTTTTAGAGACCGAGTGCCCAAACTGCAACCCCAAACCTACTTATGTATCATCAGGTGCCGGGTGGGCGTGGCCAATTGGGTGGGCATGGCTGCGGTGGTAACGGCAGACTGGGTGGGAATAAAAAGTTCAATCAATTCCAACTTTGCGAGATCTTTTTTTTCCCGTGAGAAGTTGAAATTGATTGATTGAACTTTTTTTTTTTTTGCACACGGAGGTGGCGGAGGCCTAAAGCGAAAAGGTTTTATAAAACCCAGCTGAAGGCCTAGGACTGCGGTGACGGCACGCGTGCCCACAGAGAGGGCTCTGCATGCCACCTGTGGCACGCGTGCCATAGGTTCGCCACCATGGGAATAGAAAATAGTGACACAACGAAAAGGGCATGGTTAATTGGCTACCTGGTTAGTATACTGACCACTAACATTTTATTGGAGATCCCACTTGTGCTGTCATTAACACTCATAACACTTAACAAAAAACTCACAGTCCAAAAGATAGATTTTGGATAGATAGATTTATTTGGCACAACATAACCCAAAGGATACCACAAACCAAAGCATCCATGATGTTGAAAATAAGTGCCTACCCCACTAGGTGCTGTACAGATCAATGATGAACTAACCCAAGCAATAAGATAGAAGGAGTGAAGAGTAGTATGTTACTAAGGTTGCACTGATGATGTTACCTAGTTTGGTAATGAAACGTCTGCAAAAAAAACAGGCTCAAAGAGCACCAAGAGCCCCACCGTTCAACCCTGAGCTACAAATATTATCTTGTATCAGTGTACCTGGATAACTTCCCCTCAAGTGGGCGTCACCCAAATGGACTCTGATATGATCATCATCCGTCTGCCCAAACTAGGAAGCTGAATTTTTGAACCAAGCCATTTCTTTTTTTCTAAAAAGCAGTGCAAGATTTATCACTTGTGTATCTTTCTCTGTTTCTCACAGTTAGGAAAAAAAGTATTTACGGTCTTTCTACACTATCTAAAAAAACTGTCATTTCAAATAGATGTAACTATCAAGTGCACATTTCTAGGAAAGCTTGCAAAATGGGACACTGAACAATGATAAAGTAAGAGGCACAATTTTTCTATCATAATTGTTCAGGTCAGAATTTCCATTTCTTCTCTGCCCCTTCCAGATAGTCTAAGACAGCGTGCCTGGCTGAGGAATTCTGGGAGTTGAAGTCCACAAGTCATAAAAGGGCAAAGTTTGAAGACCCTGATGTAAGATTTGAGCAGCATTGGTTGTTAGAATATGACGTTCATCAGGTCATTACAACAGCCAAGGTTAAATAAGAAGAGCTTGCTTACCTTGTAGCCAAGTTTATTTATTTATTTGATTGACTGACTGATGTACCGCCCATGTTGTCTAGAGCAGGGCTTTTCAAATGGGTGTACGTGTACCACCTGTAGTACTTTGCCACATGGCAGGTGGTACGCGACTGCTAGCCAAGTGTAGCAGGGGAGGGGAATGAGCCCAAGCGACCGAAGCCTGAGGGAGAGGCAGCTGGAGCTGCAGGATTGTCTGGGCTCAGCAGAAGCCCCAGAAGCCAGCAGGGCTCCAGCTGAATGGCTCCAGCATTAACACTGAAGCTCAACTTTTTACTTTTCCATAATATTATAAACTAGCCGTTTTTATAACAACAAATGAATCTAATCAGTAAAACCCAAAATCCCCCCCTTTTTTTTAGTCATCAAGTTTTTGACACCTTGCTAAGCACTGGTGGTACTCAAATAGTGTCATGTCCTAAATGTGGTACAATCTGTGAAAAGGTTGAAAAGCCCTGGTCTAGAGGTGGCACATAGGCCCATTCTGTTTATTGGCCAATGACTCTTACTTTAATGGGAGTAGGCAGGATTGTCCATTATTTGGGGGGGGGGGAAGAGAAGATTAAAGTTAACTTAATGAATATGGGGTTGGTTGCTTGGTTCCAATATAAGGAGTACAAATATACCCACATATAATGAGTTGAGGGTGAGCTGCTATCCAAGCCACTGCCCATCTCAATCTAGGCAATGGTAGGGCTGTCCTAGGAATTATCCCAGTTATCACTGAACCTCATTACCATTGTCTTCTGTGCCTAGATCAGTGTTTCTCAACCCCACACAAACACTCAACATTTTGAAGATGTGTAGATTTAAACATCCAGAATTCCCCAGCCAGCTATGGAATTCTGGGAGTTGAAGTCCACACATCTTCAAGTTGCCAAGATTGAGAAACATTGACCTAGATATCAAGATAGGATTTGTTTGTTCATTTTACAACATTTGCATTTTCACTGTGCATATATATAGGTATAGAGGATGTTGTTCCTGCTTTAGAGTAAATATGAAACACGACTTCTTTACTTTTTTATGTGGGTTCACATTTATGCAATGGGGGGGAAACATTATTTTTAAGGTGATAGGAAGAGAGGAGGGCAAGGGGAGGTCTGCATTGAGAAAACATAGGAACAATCATATGGATAGCTGAGAATATTCTTCTGCTCAAAAGAATAAAGCTAGGTAGTTACGAGGGTGGCCAACTCTGAAAAAATTCAACAAAATGACCCTTCCTTATGGTATATACGCATATCATCGCTGATGGAGGGGAGGAAAGAAGCTTTACAGATTTTTGGATCTGTTTCAAAAAACCTGCAAAACCTGTTCAATTAGATGAATAGCAGGAGGACAGCTTGTGAGACCAAGCCCATCTTAAGCCATGTTTTACTTTCTTTTTGGACAGATTAAAAAAAACTCTATTATTCCTGTCCACTCAGCTGAGGTATACATAGAACAGGATATGAATAGATTCCTCTATTACCTTAAACCATTATGACTGGTTTAATGTAGGTTACATATATCCAGCTACTGATATTTGCAAATCATGGCTTATGGCTTTAGCCCATGTGTAAAGGTACTGAGGTTTATTCAATGACCATAATTAAAGCAAAATAGCATTGAATACGATATGTGAGCCAGTGTTATGTCGGATTTCTTTAAGTATTAGATTCCAGCTCTCATAAACCATTACCACTCAGCTGTGGATGATGGGAGGCGATGCAGCAAAATGGAATACAACAAAAATGTGGCCTTTTGACCTGATTGGGTTAAGGTAGATTGAAGGAACTGCCTTTTATATTAGATGTTCTTATCAACTCCCAAATATCAGGAAACTTTGTCTACTGGTTCTGAAGATTGACAATTGGAAGAAAATCTCCTGGCAGAAAATAGGATAATATTCCACTTTACATCAGTAAAATTCTCATTTTTCCTTTCAATGGCCTCCTTCTGCCTTTCTTGCTTCTTAGGGTGCAAATTCAGCTGACCAGGCCTAGGAAATCATCTTAACGCTTCCCAGGAACTGAGGTTATGTAAAGTGGAGAAAGGTAATGGGGGGGGGGATGTGGATGGGATCTCTAATATTTATGCAGATCTAATCTAGTATGGATGATAGCCAGGGGAGGGCGGGCTTAGAGATGTCCCCGGAGGAACCTTTTAAAAAAAAAAATGTTTCCCCGGCGGAGCCATTTGGGGGTTGGGGGGGTCTCTTGAGGACATCCAAACTGTTCACTGCCCAGATCTTAGGAGTTCAAAGACTTCCCTTACCCCTGGTTCTCTGAAGCTGGGGAGAGGAAAAGCATCGGGGAAAGGGGCGATTCGGGGAGGGGGGTCCCCTCAAAATGTGCTCCCCCGCGGACTCCTGACCTGAGGGGGGGGTGTCCGGAGGAGGACGGGCTGGGTTTGAGGTTCGCAGACACTTTCATCTCTGGCCGCTTATGCAACCACGCGCGAGAGGGGAGTCGCGTGAACGCGGCGGCGGGGTTGGGTCGCGCGGGGCGCCCCTTCTGGGTTTCGATGGTAACAGGTGCATGTCGCGGCAGCCGGAGAGCAGGGCTCGCCCACCCCCACCCCGCTCTCCCCGCGCCAGACAGCCAGGCGGACGGACAGACGAGACCTCTCCTGCCCTGCCCACCCGAGCCTTCACTCACCACCATGGCGCCGCGAGCCCGCCGTGCCGCACCGACGGCCGTCCGAGCCAGTCCCGAGCCGAGCGGAGACAATAGGGGAGGGCGCAGCCAGCCGCCCGACTCCGACGACACCGCCCGATCCGCTCCGGCCCGGCCCCTCGGATGCTGGTCCGTCCTCCTTCCTCCTGGTCTCCAGTCGGCCCTCGAGCGAGGCAGCCGGGCGAGCGGAGGCGAGGCGAGGCGGCGTGGGATGGCGCACTCGTCCCTCCGAGGCTCGCTCCTCGCCTCGCTCCTCTCTCGCTGGCTGGCTGGCTGGCGGGGGCGGGCTCAGCCTTTGGAGAAAGAGCGGAGGAGGAGGAGGAGGCGGCGGCGGCAGAAGAGTAGCGGGGATCGATCGGTCGCTTGCAACAAAAGGGGGTGCGAGCCGAGGCCGCGAGAAGGCGGCGCGGCCGGGAAAGTGGCGGGGGGGAGCAGATAGTTCCTTTCCCCCCGCCCGCAACATCAGATTTTTCTTAATGCAATCACTCTCCGCTGGGGGGGGTTGCAAAGTATCAATATAAATCTATGGATAGATGTATATAAAAACAAAAAGGGACACCCGGCGAAGCAGCTGGAAGGGGCTGCACAAAGGGGCTTCTGTTTGCGCAGCGGGCAACTCTGTACCCCCCCCCGCCGCTCCCAGAAGCAACCTTGAGCACTTTCCCTCCCCAAGCGTTCATTATATGGATACTTTATCGCGCTCCCCCCCGCCCCTCCCGGAGCCACCGATATTGGCCAGGTCCTCCCTCCAGTTCATTCGCGCTGGTGCCGCCCTGTAGAAACCCAGCGCCTGGGGAGAATTCGCTTTCCTCCTCCTTTTTAGCACATAGAATGTATTTATTCTTTCTCACACGTTCCCCAGTCCTTGTGTAAATCAGCCGCCTCCCTTTTCTAGGGCTGGTAGCGGCTGAATTACGAAAGAGCTGAAAGCACTTGTGTTGCACCTGGATAGAGGCAGGCCCTGTTCAGAGTAGTTTGCCCCCCCCCCCCCGTTATCCACACCCACCCCTGCCTCCAAAATCTTTACTTTTGTGGGTCTACAAGCCAAACCAGGCCTGGATGAGATTACCCAGGAATAAGACAAAACAATTCAGAGATACTGAAGAGACACACAACCCCTCACCCCTCTCGCACACAAAGGTTACTCTCCAGATGTGATGGACACTAACTCCCAAAAGCCTAATGGCCAGTGCTAGTTAGGGATTATGGGGACCAAAAATCCAACACCTCTGGAATTCAGAAAGGGAGGGGGAGGAAAGCTGGATTGAAAAACTTTCCTTCCTATTGAAGGAACAGGAGAGAACAAGATGACTGGGATCAAGCTGCCAACCTGAACCCAAGCCCCTCCCCTGCCTTCTCTTGTACACCTCAAAATATACTATAAAGGGCAGAGAAGGACTATCGTTCCTACAGATGCTGAGAAGATTGTTTTCCAAATCTTTAACATCCACAAATGAATGTTTTGTGCACTGGTGTAATCCTGCCCTTACACAAGCTGACGTGGCTCTGCTGTCACAAGTGGATCAACCAAGGTAGACTGACATAATATGATTCCAATATCTAAAGGAATAAGTTATCTCTCAATACATGTCCCAGCTGTATTGTTTGACGTATGAATCCTCCCAGGTAGATCACAGGGAGGTCAAAGCAGATTGGTGCCAACAATTCAAAAATGCACCGAGGGAGCCCTATTAATCAGCAACCCCTCCCACTGTTTCTGATGCGGTCAATGCAAAATAACAGATAGCATCATCAGTTATCATCGCATTGATAACACCTGTATTGAAAATGAAATGTCTGCAAGAAAACCCCCAAGCTCAGAGAGCACCAAGCACCCCACATATTGATCCTGAGCTACAAATATTCTCTTCTATAAAAACAGGTAGTTCTCAACTTATGATCACAACTGAGCACAAATTTCTGTCGCTAAGCAAGACAGCTAAGTGAATTTTTGCCCCAGTTTATGACCTTTCTTGTCACAGTTGTTAAGTGAATCACTGCATTTGTTAAATTAGTAACATGATTCTTAAGTGAATCCGGCTTCCTCAATGTATTTGCTTCTCCAAAGGTCAGAAAAAGTGATCCCGTGACCCTGGAACACTGCAACCGTCATAAATAGTGAGTCAGTTACTAAGCATCTGTATTTTAATCACGTGACCATGGGGATGCTGCAACGGTCATAAGTGAAAAATGGTCAAGAGTCAGTTTTTACTGCTATTGTAAGTTCAAACAGTCACTAAATGAACGGTTGTAAGTCAAGGACCACCCTTACCATCCTGGAATCCCCATTCAGCTCTCTCCTACATTATTTTTTATACTTTTTTATTCCAACAAAAGTAGGCTTAATTCATACCACAGCATTACACTCAGGAAATTAACAACATCCAAGCTCTGCTCTGAAATGCCCCCAACCTCCATCCCAAGGAACCAAACAGAATTTCTTGCTGTCTCAGAAGATCTGTCTCATCCTGTTATTTATATTCTCTTGTCTAGATAATCAAAAATGCTCTCCCAGAATTTCATCTGTGGGATACACATGAGAGACTTTCTGTTCCTGTAGCTAATGCATTGGAATCATCTAGCCTCTCTGGGTTCTTGTAATACTCTTCTAGGGTCAATCAACTTTTCCTATCAAAGCTATTTTCCAGATTTTCTCTATCCAGTTACAAAGTGCTTGGTTTGCAAAAGGACAACGTTGTCATTTACTGTCACCAAGAGTAAGCAACAATGTTGCTTTCTGAAGGTCCTAGAGGTCTATAATTCATCCTGTAGCAGTAGATTCTATAAACTGGTATTTGGCACATTGTGGGTGATCGGGCACGAAGCCAGCTGGGTGACCTTGGGCCAGCCACTTTCTCTCAGCCCTAGGAAGGAAACAATGGCCAACCACTTCTGAAAAACCTTGCCAAGAAAATTGCAGGAACTTGTCCAGGCAGTCTCCAACAACTGGACACAACTGAACAGAAGGGGAGGATGTGATTAGCCTGAACTTTACACACACGCACAAAGGTGAAACAGGGCAAAGCTGAAAATCATCTTTCAGCCCACTTCTTTCCTTTTCAAATCTGCTTGATGCTGAAGGGATCCTTTGCAGAAATGCAACGTAGTCTAGGAACACTGAGAGATCTAACTTCAAGTCCTCACTTGAATACAAATTCAAAGGGGTGATGTTGGTCAGCCAATGTAGAGGACACAAGGAATGGCCTTGAGACACAGGAGGAAGAGCTGCTACTAAGGCATCAGTCACATAAAGTGGGGCTTGAGCCCGTTTCAGGAAACTAACTTGAGAAAAGTCTCAGACAGACCTTTTCTTCATTCGTATAAACATAAAGAAGAGACAGAACAACATTCAGACTTGCAAGATTTTGTTATTATAGCTGTTCCCACAAAAATAGTCCCAGCCTATAGGGCATTGGTTTCTTAGTCTGGTCTACTTTATACAGCTGATAGCCACTCTCCTCAGCCCGGACTGTCTCACAGAATTATCGTGGGGGGGGGGGGAAGAAGAGAAACCAAAATGGATGCCACCTTGAGTGCTCATTGAGAAAAGACAAGGTATAAATGGACATGTTGATTCCAATGGGGTATAACTGTTAATGTATTGCACTAGTACAGGTAGTCCTCAATCTACGATCACGACTGAGCCCAAAATTTCTGTTGCTAAGCGAGACAGTTAAATGAGTTTTGCCCTGTTCTACCTTTCTTGCCACAATTGTTAAGTAAATCATCGCAGTTTTTAAGTTAGTAACACAATTGTTAAATGAATCAGATTTTTTCATTGGTTCTGCTTGTCAGGTCACAAAAGGTGATCACATTCCAATTGTCATAAATATGAATCACTTGCCAAGCATCTGAATTTGACCATGGGGATGCTGCAATAGTCACAAGTGTGAAGAACAGTTTTAAGTCACTTTGTTGCTGTTGTATAACTTGGAAAGGTCACTAAATGGACTGTTGTATAATCGAGGACTAGCTCTACTGGGGAGAAGTACTGTCGCAATTGTACGTCACTTTTTTTAGTGCCATTATAATCTCCAAACAGGGATCCAACTATTTAAAGTGGAATTATTTGCAATAAAACAAATTTTAAAAATTTGTGTGATGACAGTTGGGTAATCTAAAAAAGGAGAAAGTCCCCACTTGAATGCAACCAAAGTTAATTTATATGCTGTTATGTAAGGTATGTTCACAAATCAGTAGTTGCAAAAGAACCTAGAAATCTGACTGTGTGCTTGAACCTGGACTTTGGAACTTTTTTTCCTACCCAATGCTCAAGACAATTAACCATTTCTTTATATATAAATAAGTTAGGCAGACAAGAATCACGACCCTGTAACTAAAAGACTCACAACTGTGAGACATCCTTCTCAGACTGAAAGTAGCCTATATTTATTTTCCTTTGTAGATTCTGTTCATTTGTTTATTTTCCTATGTCTTCCCCAACTTGAATTCTGGTACTGTTTTTGATCTCATATTGGTTTCCCAGCACATCTAATTGTTTTGCTAAAAGATGTCATAATGGGTTTTTGAAAATATTTTGATATTTGGACTATCAACTGAAAAGGTGGAATAGAAAAAGGAACAAGCTAAACTTAATATGGGTTGGAGGGTGAGATCTTTAGTCTTCTTTTCTGTTTGAAAACAAATAATCTTTTCCCCCTCCCCCCAAAAGTTCCCTTTGTTCTTTACACAAGGAAATATTCATTCTCATTTCTCCAAGACAAATGAGTTTGGATTCCATTGATCCCCTTTTCACTGGACACAATGAATCTGGATAGAGTACCCTGCTAAATTACCACAATTTGTTTTGATCCAAAAATACACATTTATTTTAAATGCAATGTGAAATATACAGTGAAACCATGGAAACAGCACACTGAATATAAAGTAGAGGCATCCCTACACATCATCGCTTGGCTATTCTGAATCCCAAATATCTTCTTAGGAAAATGCTGGTCTGCTAAGGGCAGGCAGACATTGAAAACCACTATAGAGTTAATAATAAATAAATAAAAAGCACCTTCAAAACCCTTTGACTGAATTTATCCTGAAGTGCCTGATAATGCTGGATTTGAGCAATGCCTTGAGGAGGGACCTTAAACCACCCAAGGTTCAACAAAGAGAACACAGGAGGTGGTCATCGGTGAGAGACGCCCTGATCAAAGGAGTTACTTTCCAGCTGAGTGATCTGGAAATCCACAGCTCTGTAAGAAAATGAAACATAAATGCATACCACTTTCAGGGCCAGAGGGCACCAGAGCAACATAAAACATGAAACCAGAGTTAACAACGGAAAACAATAGACCAATAGATCTTGAATGGAACCACGGTTGAAAAGCATGGAGCAATGCAACCGCACACTCAAGAAAACAATGAACATTCCCACTCTGAGTTCTAGGGAGAAGCCAACAACACTTAAGCAAGAGATGCATATACATTAGACAAATTTATACTTTGCAAAATTTGTTCTGCTTTTCCAGAACAAGCAAGATACCAAACTTTAATGAACATTTTAAAAATGAGCTGGCACAACTCTGAATTTTTAAGTGCTGTACTCTGGCACTCAGCACATGTTTCCATTTTATACAAGAGCCCTAGGAATTTGAATCTTAAACAGCATTACCCAAAAACAAAAAAACAAAACCCAGTCAGATGATCAAATTGAATTCTATATTTCTATACCTTCCTGTCTATACCCAGAAAAACACTTGAGAGGAATGGATAAGGATCACTGTGTGTTGCAATATCAGAAGATCTTATCAAACTCAGCAGAGACAGATTCAATTTAGTGACTAAATAGTTGATAGAAGCATCTGTGAAGAAGCCCCCATCCCAATGAGGGGGCCTCCAAGCATTTGGTGAAGGGTGGCTACTTACCGAAGCTGGTTGAGCAGTGTTTCCCTCTGACCTCTCAGCACTTGTAACAGAGGGTCATCTTCAAATTCCAGACCATCTGAGTCTACAAAACAGAAAAATAGCATCTCCATTATTTAACTATCTCTTTTATTGCAAGCCACTTTTGTTAAATTCCACCACTAACCTAAACAAAGACTGTCCCCATTAAGGCCAAGCCATATTTCTATTCCTAGGACTCCATTGATTCCTTTAAGCCCAATTTTTTAGGATCCTTTTTTTCCCACCCCCTCACAAATACAGAACTCTTCAACTGCTCCAGCCATCATCTTGACTTCCTTCTCCCCCCCTCCCCCCCTTCCGCTGTACAGATCTCACAAACCTTTCTGTATCTTAATTAAACTTGACCAGTGCCTTTGGCTCTGCTCTCATCTGTGCTGGATAGCAAAGGAATGACACATGCTAAAAGAGTTCCTATTAAAATAACCATGTAGCAGCATCCAGCCGCTACGATTGGAGCATTTAACTGCTTCCTATTTGGATCAAGGCTATGCCAACTAGTAATGCAGTCAGATGTAGAGCAAGGAAATAAAATAAAACTTACATGCTACAGCTATACAATATGATACAGTTTGTTTGTATCATGCCTCTTTTATGTATTTGTTATCCCATCTCCAACTAGATCCTTATTTCTTTCCAAGCGTGAATAAGTTAAGTTGTGGAGTTCAAATTAAATTCACGCTTTGCCCAAGTGAAGTACTGTAGAGGGATCACATTCCAGCCCCATGCCCAGGGACACCCAACAAAGGAATCAGAATCTTGACCCACATAAGCTTAATAGAAAAACTCCCTAAGTGAGAAGAATAACTTTGCACTTAGAAATGCACAATAAAATGCAGTGTAAACCCCCTTCTCAAAATTGCTGGTGATGAAGATCTTCATGATATTCAAGCACCTGTCCTGTCCCATGGATTCTACCTTCAGCCTGTTCCAGTAGCTGAGCAGCCATGTTCAGGAGTTGGGGATGGGAGGGAGTGACAACATTCTTTGGAATAGCTTCCTCTGGACCCAAAGTCCTTGAGCATCTCTTTGGTTTGTCCCGAGGAAGAGCTGGAGATTCAGGTGGGGAGAAAAGCCTTTCAGCAACTACCTGGACAAGACAGAAAAAAGAAAACCCATTCAAACTGTTCTCAGGACCTTAATAGGAAAGTAGACATGAGAGAGGATAAAGCCGACCTGCTTAGTGCTCTTATGAATCCTGTGTCTTCCTTTTAAAGATAAACAACAGTATTTCAGTGGGATCAGGCCAAGAGACAAGCTAGACCAGTCCAGTGCTTGTGTCATACACTGGCCAATCTAATGAATTTAAGGCCCCAAGACTGGAGAAGAGGGGCAATAACTCCTTTCCTTGAAACATAATCTCAAATTATTGTTCTCAAAAGAAAATCAAATGACCTGGGATCTTTACAATTCGGTATGATTCAGTTGGCAATCCTGACGATCCCAGGACAACACAGCTACTTTAAAAACATATAGGCAGCGCTTCATGAAGGCCCGTACATTCCAAAACATCTTTTGAATCTGAAGCACTGCAGTTCTATTTAGGAGGGGATGCCTACTAAACGGAACCCTGGGTGGTGCAGTGTTTAGAATGCAGTATTGCAGGCAAACTCTGCCCACAGCCAGGAGTTGGATCTTCACTGGCTCAAGGTTGACTCAGCCTTCTGAGGTCAGTAAAATGAGGACCCAGATTGTTGGGAGCAATATGATGACATTGTAAATCACGCAGAGAGTGCTGTAAAGCACTATGAAGCAGTATATAAGTCTAAGTGCTATTGCTAATGCCACTGAATTATTCTGTGATAACAATCAGGCAGATTGATGGATTAGATCTTGTACCTCCGATAGTACATGATGAACTGAATGCTTTGTGGGGCTGCGTGTTGTGGAGTCTGAAATTGGTTTTGCTTGACTCTGCTTGACTCTGCATAGTCCTGGTCTTCTGCTGAGTTCCAAGTGCATTCCCTGATCGGATGATTGAACATGACATGAAGTTGTCTGACTCAAAGACTCATTGGCTTTTGCAGGTCTTGAAGGAGATGTTTCTAGGTAATCAGGGACGTGATCTTTTTGTGGGGTTGGATCCTTCACAATTGGCTTATCGCTGCATTCAGGGCCTCCAGTTATCACTATCCCATTATTGGGGGAAATGGTTTCAATATGCTGCCCAGAAGTGACTCCATGCTTTGGCATGCCTGCACAGGAGCAAGGATGGCACTGACTCTGGATATATTTAATATCTAGGTGGGGCTCGGGAATTGACAACACTTTTTGGTCTTTGCCCCTCCAAGGAGTTGGTTCAGTTGACTTCAGAACTTCTCTTTCCATCTGCAAAGAGGAACAAAAATATTTAAGAGCATTTCTGGCCTTCTGTTCCTAGCATGAAATGAAGAAGTGCCTATTGGCAGAATAAACCAAGAATTCCTTCACCAGCATAGCTGTTGTCTTCTATGTTACATTGATGCTGAGTTTTACTACACAAGAAGAGTTAAATACTACTGTGATGTAACTGCCATAAGCCATTTTAACTAATATATGTCTTCACTGTCTCATAAAGAAGTCATTTTACCAATGTATGCATTATTTGAAATATTCATTGTAAACATCTGGTTAATTTTGAACCCAAACCACAGATCTCTTATATGCCTCTTTTGCCTCATTTTACCTCTTTTGCCTCATTTTGAAGTTACACAAAATGAAAGAAAACAATCCAAACGTTATCAGGAGCCCCAGCACTATGTTCTTTCCCTTAATGGGGCATTCTGTACTTGCCCTGTTAATTTTAACATAGGGCTAAATTCTGCTGCTGACTTTCAGATAAAACATAACTTAAGCTGTTTGCTAAAACATTAATGAAAATGAAACATTCCTGGCTGGAGAGTATATGTGGAGGTGGACGCATGTGTGTGGTTTGCAGAAATAGGCATTTTATGAAGATATTTCTTTTGCAAATGCTTACAAAGCAATCAATTCAAAAGCATTCATTCAGTTCAATGGAATGAAATAGCCTCCAGAAAGAAAGCATCTCTTCATTGCATCATCTCAGTTCCAAATCTACACATATTCCACTAATTGATTTCAAATCTTTACTTTTCCAGAGGTGCAGGTCGGTTGGAAGCATGGATTCCTCCAAACTTCAGAAGGCATTGCAGCAACGGCTTTGCTTGCTTCCTCCATCTTCCGCCGCAGGCGCCACTGGAATAGGATGTCATCTTCTGGTTTTAAAGAATGGGTTATAGAACTTGGAGTGATATGATAAGGAATAATCAAGCTCTCTGGAAAACAAAAAAGACATTGTTGTGAATCTGAAGTCATCACTGCAAAAGAGCTACATGAGTTGTTCATGAACGTCTCATACAATTGTAGAATTAAAAGGGGCCAATAGGTTCATCTAGTTTAATCCTCTACAAAGTTCAGGGTAACCAAGCAAGAGAAATGGCTGTTCACCTCTTCATAATGACTTCCAGAGAGGATGAATACACAGCCTCTATAGGTGGACTGTCCCATTATTGTACAGATCTTACCATTGGGAGTTTTCCCTTATATTTTAGCAAAATTGTGGTAACTAAAACTTGTGTCTCTTTATTTCTGCTCCTAGTTTCTGTAGATATGGAATATCTTGATCATCTTCCCTACAACTTCTCTTTATGGACCTGAATATGGCTATTATACCCCCCCCCCCATGGATTGAACATGCCAAGTTCCTTCAACCTGTCTTTACCAGATATGTCATTAAGTCACTCCCCTCTTGTGAACTCTGCCTAACCTGGCAACATCTCCTGAAAGAGATGTTGGACCCAGAATCAGATACAACTCCAACTGCACTCTCATTAATGCCAAGTAGAAAGGAATAATTATTCTAAGATCTCAAATATCAAGCAGCCCAGAAACGCAATACCTCTGTTTCATGTTCAACGTTATCAATGACCACATTCAAATCCTTCTTAGATTAAAGGTTTCCAGGCCCTGAATCCCCCATCTTTTATCTGCATCCTGCACTTTTTCTCTATAATGGATTTTCATAAATAAATGTGCATCAATTTATTATCTTTGCTGATTGAACATGGGTTCTCCCATTCCCCTTCCACTCTCAGTAACCATTTCTTTCACTTTCACAGACCAAACTTATAAATAACCCTGCGGAAAAAAATCATTCTAGATCACGTCTCACCCTCCCTACCTTTGACTTGGTGTGCTGCAGAATGTTGTAGAGCATGTTGAGGCAGGTCTGTGGTGCTATTTGCGTTGGTGGATGTAGTAGTAGAATCAAGCCCTTCAGAGCTGACAGGCCTGACACTCAGTGGTGAGATGCTATAAGCAAAAGACAGATTGAGAAAAACATCTTGTTAGAAAGGAAGTATATTTGGGAGAGGGGAGGGAATATCAGTTGGCTGAGACACCAAGCAGAGGCACAGAACTGGGAAATGGCATTGGTCTATTGGGTGATGGACAAACATAAATCAGGCCAGTACCTTCTGCTTAAGACTTTAGCTGCTCTTTCCTGCAGGTTCACTGTCTCAGTGTCAAGTGCAGAAGCAGCTTGTATTTCTCCCTGCAAAGAGCATACGAAGAAAGTGTAAAGAGAGAGAACTCTACGGGGGAAAGAATGCCAAGAGTCTGCCAAATGGAGAAGAGTGGAATTTTCAATACCTCTGGAAATGCACACCAATGCAAAACATGTAACTTATTAGGGGAAAATGATGGAGAAGTCAATGCAATGCAACATGACCATGGAAAGTAACTCTCTTGTAGGCAAAAGGTGAAGGCAGAAGGAAAAAAAGAAATAAGGTCATCAGATGGAGGCAATGAAAAGGTGTCTGCTGCTCATTTTAGATGAACATTTTTAAAGCAAGATTTCCCTCCTCTGGAAATTCAGAATTTCTGAAAGTTCTTAAGTCCTTGATAAAAAGACAAAGAAGTAACTGGGGGAACCAACCCAAGAAATCTACTAACTGAGAAACACTGTAACATATCTTACATTTTTCTCTACCTAGAACAGAGCAATTACTCCAAGTATGTATTTGACAAAGTTTATGCAGCCACATTTTGTTAGATGACCTTCCTATGTATCTACTGCAATTCTATTCTGACCTCCCATAAAAAGTTCAGGTCCACATAGATGGGCACATTCTATTTTATTCTCAGTCTGAAGGAGGCAAGGCTCAGAAGCCACCTCAACTCAAGATCATTCGTGTAGGCTGAGCTTTATGACTGATAAGGATTGATCCTCAGGGCCAAAAATACGGCTTTCCCAACTCTCTGGGCCCAAGACCACCCATGAGCTGGAAAACAGAAAAGAAAGAAGCCAGCAGAGTTGTGTTACTTTCTGCCTCTTGAATAGAAAGAATCCTAGTCAGGAGAATATCTTGTTACTCACTGAGGTAGTTTGAGTCAGGATGGGACTGAAAAGAGATGACCTCACTTCACTTTGGCTGTTATCTGCAAAAAGACATCTCCATTAAAAGTGAAGGATTCATACAGAACAATCATCTTTCTAAAGGAATAACTTTTCAAAATATTTTACTTGGAAAAAGAAAAAACAAACCACAGGATGTTTCAATGGGTTAGGAAGTCCTTTACGTTTGCATTGGATGTACATCCGTGGAGCTGCAAAGTTCCCTCTGAACCAAAGTATCACCTACGTGCCTTTCCAGCAGGTCCACAAATACTCTATGAACAGACCCACTGCAGGAAATACTAGGGATGCACAGAACATTTAGGAAACAAGAACATTATCCAAGTCTTTGCTATGCTCAGGATCCTTTCACTATTGCTTTTTCAAAAAATCTTATACCACATGCCCAATAGTTGCAAAGTGGATGAAGACGATGCAATACCTGCTGTCTTCTTGACAAGGCTGTTCATTATACACACTTGCTAAGAATTGCTAACAATACTTCATGTCTCCCAACCAGGAACTGGCAAGTAGAGGTTGCCCAAGGATAACGTGCCCCTGTGTGCCTATAGCCATATCTACAAACTTCCAAATTAAAAGTTCTTCCCATCTATTGCCACCATCCCTGTGCCTAAGGCAGCTTTATTTCCACAAGAGAACTCGTATTTTATCTTTTGCCTTGGTCTGACAAAAGCTCTGTGTATACCAGAACTATATTCATATATCATGTTAAGTCCCAATGTGGTTGTTTATTTTGGCATAGCAAAGCGCATAAACTCAGCCACTGCACCAAATAAAACATGGTAAGAGAAATGATGACTCAGCACGATGCATGAACCTAGCCAGATCTTTATTCTTCTATTGGATTTAAGTACCCAAAGATAGCAATGCTTCCTTCTTAGAGTTTTCTCCATCTGGGAGAAATGAGTGGCTAAGCCACCAGAAATCAGCTGAACCTCCACTAGATGCCAAGCGCTCTTTACGATCAGCGGGCTTCCCATAGCGAAATCGTTCAATATACCTGCCAAAGGAAAGAAAAGAAGTTTGATCAGAAAGCAATAATCATTGTGGACCTGAAACCAGGACTCTAAGGAAAAAGGGTCAATAGAAAAGCAAGCAAGGCCATCATTCAATGTTTGTCTACAAAGCCCAGTCCTCAGCTTCATCTGCCATTTCAACGGTGACTCTTATAACTGGACTCACTTGGCAACAATGGATTCATTGTCTGAGACAGAATCTGGGAGCTTTGGTGCCTCCAGGGTCTTGGCCTCTGATGACAGCTGTGCTGGAAGATCCTTTTTTCCTTCTGGAGTCAGGGAGGAAGAGCTGCGTTCAGTTGAGGGCCAAGACTCATTGAAGGGACTTGTGGAGTTTGACTTAGGGGGCTTTCCCTCATGGGAGCTGGAGTCAGGCAGTAAATGAGGGTATGAAGTACTGAATGGTTCTGGCTCCTCAGGAAAGACAGAGCAGTTCCTAGGCTGCAAACGAGATGGGCTCAGGACCTAAGAAGTTAAAAAATAAAGAAGACATTTCCCCATTGGCACAGAGATCCATCAGAGATCCAAACTTCAGAGATCATAGCTTCCTTCCATGAGACTTTATACATCACAGATTCCTGTAGATCAGCGGTTCTCAACCTGTGGGTCGCGACCCCATTTGGAGTCAAATGACCATTTCACGGGGGTCGCCAAACAACGCAGTCTGCTATTTTTTCCCCTTTTCCTTAGCTGTGGTACTCCCTTTTATTCTATTGGCTTTTGAAAGCCAATAGAATAGACTCTCTTGAATAGAGTCTAATTCTATTGGCTTTCAAAAGCCAATAGGAATTGTCCAGGCTGTCTCTGCCCTGCTGAGCCCGCCAAAAGTCCCATTCTGCAAACGGTGCTGCAAGTTGTCTGCAGCGAAGGCGAGCTGTCTGGAAGTTTCCACCCCTCCCTGCTGAGCAACTACTAAAAATGTAAGTAAAAGAGGGCCAGGGGTGGGAGGTGGGAGGCCGGCGGGCGCAGGGAGGGTTGCTGGCGCGCGTGGGGCCCAGCGGGTGCCTCACCTCCCTTGGGCTGGGCCAGCTGGTGGCCCAGCCAGTGGTTGCCCTGCACCATCACTGCCCCTTGCCAGCTACTCCTCGGCCGGCGCAGGGGGCGGCACCACGCATGTGCGGCGCTCCTGGGCAGGGAAAGTCCTCAACTTACGACCGGTTGTGTAGTCCTCGACTTACGACCGGTTGGGTAGTCCTCGACTTACGACCGGTTGGGGTCGCGGCATTAAAAAGGTTGAGAACCAGTGCTGTAGATGAAATCTTTAGACATCTACTTTATCCTTACATTTCTGAAAAGAAGGCTAGATGACTGGCTCAAGAACTTTGCAGCTGAGTTGATTTCAACCTGTTCTCTCTAATGATTTGGCTGCACCCATCAGCTATCTGAATGTCTAACTCCTGCAGGAAGATGGCTATTCTGTTTCAGTCTTCAGATCAAAGGGAGAAAAGTCTGCATTCCTAATAGCTAGATTCCCAATTCTTAACATCCAATTCCATAAGGACAGATTGCCAAAAGAACAGTCTGCTTTCAGTTGCTATTTGCTTTCCTTAGAGACCACATGGCATGACTTTATTCTCACCGTCTGTTGCTTCTTCTGCCTCAATGGCTGGGCCTGAGAAGGATGATAATGGCTTCGGGAACTGGATCCCTCCAAAAAGGGGCTCCCAAGAGTGGAGAATACAGCTAGACTGTGAGTAAACAAGAAATGTCCATTAGACAAGTGTCTACATATACCATTAACCGCAACCATGGAGGGGGGGAGGAAACCTAACTTTGTGGAATCTAGGAGAAAAAAGAACGGTGTAGACATGATAATATGGACCTTTTAGTGAGACTGAATTACACATTGCTCAGACCGAAATGGTAGAACAGTGGGTGCACAAGACAAACAAAATTTACAGGGTCCACAGTGTTAAAAACATACACATCTAGAAAATCAGAACAACAGGAGAAGGATGTCTCTAAACCTTTCTTCCTAGGATATGTAATTAAATACACAGAGTTTATATATAGTTAAGGTTTCTAAGAGCATTCAAATTTCCATTTTTAATCTCTAACTTCTGTTTCTTTCTCAGTTAATAGGAAAGACACTTAGCTTCCCCCAAGGAGACTAGACAATATTGCCAAAAATAAATGTGTCAATGGCAGTGATCACATCATAGAGTGCCACTCAGTGACAATCTCTGGGAAAGCTGAATAAGTGGATCCAACCACATCTGTGCCTTGCTTTTCATAGTGTTCTGACTGGATTAGATGGATTGGGGGGTAACTCCAGCATATTTATACTGTAGCTGTACTTTACACAGCTCGGGGAAATGAGGCTGCCAGAATAAAGTCATACAATTCAGAGTTGTTCCTGCCCTCAATGCATTTAACAATATGGCATACAAAGAAAGATTTAGAAATGTATTTTCCTTGTTGTTTCCAAACTACAGATATTTTTAACAGTAAGCACCTACAAAATTACATTCTTCTGATATAACCAGAGTTCTATTACTTCAGTCTGTGTAGGGTAGTTTGATTTACAGAGAAGGCCATATTATAGTATCAACCTTGTTTCTTAGAGGCAGCCAACTGAGCTCATTAAATTTATTCTATTCATCTTTTGCCACAGTATTCCAAGACAAGAAGTAGGTAGCCACTCTTGTACCTAGAATCCATTGTTTTCCACCAAATTATTTGCAGAGAGCTGATTTAAACCATGCTGGAAATATATTTGCCTCTCTCCTCATGAAAATGATGTCAAGTTTTCCAAAGCGTATTCTATGAGCAAACAAACAGAAGTTCCAGTAAATAATAAATACTTAAAGCATCATAAAATTTAATTCTTCTTCCTAGCTTTGGTTTTTGTAGATTATCAATTTCTCTCTGGTTAGGTTTTGGTAATGATGAAAAAGAAGATGCTTAATGCAAAGATGCAAGATTTTTTATTCTGCTAAGGACCGTTGACTACAGAGGAAATTACACTTTTTCAAAAAAAATATCTTTCTTTGAGGATGCCAATGATGGCAATGCACTGCTGGTTCGTCCTGCAATTTTACAAGTGTCCCTCTATGGGAACAAGGCTGACCCAGGTCTAGCAGTCTCTCCTGCAGGATTCTTACCATTGTTATAAGGGGGGGGGGGGGAGAAAAGGGTTACCCACTACAAAGTTTCTATTTTCAATGCTCTCTCCAAACTATCATTTTGGCCCCAAGAGTTTCTGCTCAACAATGAATGTTATAAAAAAAACATGCTCATCAGGTCCAACCCCATAATTTAAAGAATAGATATGAACAGATTAAAAGCTAACCTGAATAAATTGTAAAACACAGATGAATTCATATATCAAAGAAAGCCTCAACATGGCTGATTAATTTACGGCTTAGCATTATATGTGAATCTGGCTGTGAGCGCTTATTCATCAAACTCTGTTTAAAACACAAACTTACATTAGTTGAAATCAGTAAAAGAAAGTCCCAGACACAAGTCCTTTGATCATTAGAAATGGGGTACAGGGGTGGGTGGGAGACTTAACTAAACAGAAACATTCCATGTATAGCTAATAATCCTTACAAAGCCTACCTTTAAATTATGCCAGCACAAATATCCCAAGGCTACAAATTTGCTAAGCAGAAAATGATGTAGCATCAAATTAAGGACATTTGATAGGTTTGCCCCATGAGAAGCTTCCTTCTCAACAATGCCATCCTGAATCACAATATGTATAGTTGTATCTGCTTTGTCTTATTGGTTAATAGCTGCTTACCAGTTTGACTATTAGGTCATGACTAAATTTTATTGAATTGTTTGTAATTACTGTGCCATTCTCATTTGTACACCTTGATAAAGCAGTTAATAAAATATTATTTGTCATCCACAGCCTGTAGTATAGGTGGCTGTAACTGGAATAATAGAAAATAAACAGAAAAATCAGCCCTAGAGCCTGGTCCACAGAACCACTGAGAATCGGACACAATTGAACAGATACCATCATCAGGGGGTAAAATATATAAGCCATGTTGGAGGTATTTTGCTTTCAAACTCCCCCTGTCTTGCAAAATGTTTAATACCCACTCCACAGTTGATACCCACTCCAGAGTGCTATGGAGCTGCACATTCAGCATGCAGGTCAACCACAGATGTCCAGAGACTGATCCACATTCAAAGGAATGTCCTGGTTAGCTCAACCCATACTTGAAATCCAATGCAATTCCAAAACTATTGGAATCCCAGCTTGTTTCCATCAGCTGTGTTGCCACTCAACTGTCTTTCCAGATTCTAACTTTCCTGGGCTTCCAAGCAAGGAATTCTTTGCAGCCACCTCTTGGGCAGTTGGGAAGGAAATTTCCATGGTGCTAGGTCACCCCCCTCATATGCAGTTGCCAAGGCAACAGGTTGCTTTCCTTTTTTTCCATCTCCCGTGAAAGCACCTCATTCACTGACCCTACTATAGCCCAGCACAGCGAACAGCATGATGCAACAAACAGCACAGAATCTTTTGCTCTGGAGAAAAACTGTATGAGTCCAAGTGATCAAAGGTGGCATAGTTTCTAGTCTAGCATCTCAATGTGATTTTCTTAAAACAGCTCCCATGCTGGTTCTAGAGACTGAAAGACAGCAGCTTTTGGCAGAGTAACGCAAGTAAACTGCTTTCCTAATCAGGGTCCCTAATATGGCTGAAGAATCATGAGAGTGAGAGTGGTCTAGAATCAGGAGAGGAAATACAATATTTCCCACAAGGCTCATTTATCAGTATTGCAGAAATGAAATCATATTGCAAGAATTCGGGCAGTGGCATGGCAGTAGCTAACTGTAGTTCCCAATTATTCATGCTCCATACCAACAGGGAATCTTAGCTTCTAATCTACAGTCTCAACATGGAAGAGAGGGATTCCCTTCCTAATGAAGCTAGCAGCCACCAGCAGAACCCAGCTCTTTCCTACCAAAACTTTATGCACCAATTTTTCCAAGATGACTTGGTAACAGCAGTTGACACTCACTGATTACCAAGTTGTTTCTTGCATCTGGCACACCGGTTCCATCTACAGCAGCCTGTGATCCTAAGGGTGGGTAGAGTTTGCCCTCTGTTTTGCCCTCATGCTGGAGCAATTCTTGGATCCTTTGGATTGATTTGTACCTCTGAAGCACTCCTGCCTCACACCGTGTCTTGGAGGAAAGGGTAAAAGGGCTGCCCAGCATATGCCTTTGTTCTCTACTTTCTACATATTTAGCAGAAGAGAAGCAAGCTTTAAGCTACTTAATTCAATTAGAATAGAGCTGGAAGGGACCTTGGAGGTCTTCTAGTCCACCTCCCTGCTCAAGCAGGAGAACCTATACCATTCCAGACAAATGGCTGTCCAGTCTCTTCTTAAAAACCTCCAGTGATGAAGCACCCACAACTTCTGATGGCAAGCTGTTCCATTGGTTAATTGTCCTTACTGTTAGGAAATTTCTCCTTATTCCTTGTTAGATAAAGGCATTGCCCATTTTCTCCCAACTTAGATGACAACAGAACACAAATCCTTCTAAGTTCCAGAATATCTTCTCCTAAAATGCTATGGAGAAGTGCAATAGGATTTTGAATACGTTCTCAGTACAATTTTTTTTAAATGTGACAGATGTGTAAATTCAGCAACATTAATATCCGCACAGACAGCAGAAATTACACAATTCCCAAGCTACAAAGTGCTCCGGTATCTACAAAATACACACATTTTCCTGAATCGTTTCTGCCACTGCTCCTGTTTAGTACCGGTTCTTGCCACCAGCACTGTCTGGGTCAAATACTGATGAATGAACCAGGCACAAGGGCATCTGCACAGTGCCCATCAAAGCTGGAGAATAAAAGCAAGCACAATAATAAACACAGCATGAATGCAGGAATTCCCACAGGCTTTTCAGTGTGAAAAAAGCAGAGCCGGTAAGTATGATACATTCTTTGAAAAACAGGCCGCTGACCTGTCCCTCAAACTCTAGAAAATTGAAACAGAAAATCAATCATTTGCACAGGCAATACTGGCATTACTGTCTCAGGCTTGATGAGCAAAGGATGGCAGTTCCTTCCCAAACCTATCACTCATCTTGTATTCCTTGAGAGCTGCCTATTATTTTCACCCAACCACCAGAACTATAGGAAAACATGGACCTTGTCATGTGTTGCTAAAGAGTTTGGACTGCCTCAATGTTTTTATGCTGGGTTTCAAAGTGGTGTCTTTAGGTTGGTAGGTTTAAAGAATTCCTGTCGCTTGGCACTCAAAGCAGACTGGCTTTGCATTTTAATATGGTGGCACAAAGAAGAAAAACCCTTCAATCCAGATGGGACTTAAAGTAATAGCTTGTGGTTTATTTCATGGCACCTGCTCAGGCTAGAACAAGCCTTCTCTTGACATAGTCATCTGTTTTTTGTTTTTTGGCTTCTCCTTTTTGGAGCCAGAAATTCGAATTATCGGCATTTATAGAACAGGAAAAAAAAATCCTTTGGTCCGATTTTTCTTCTGTGATCATTCTAGACCAGCGCTTATAAACACAGCAGTACATCACACACTATTTAAGCCAGTAACCAAATTCAATACTCCACTGGATGAAATCTAATCTAGACCCATCTTTTCCTTAATCCTATTTCACCATAGTGATTATTAGATATAGGAAATCTTCCAGATTAACTATCCTACTGTCACTTTATGCAAGACTTATATAATATCTAACTTGCTTTTTAAAGTTCTCTCTAAGGATCATTGTTCCTCTTAACCAGACAATTACTTTTTGTGTTCATTTCTCATGGTTATATTAATTGTTTGCAGATTTAGGGAAGGTACACCTCTATAACTGCATTATGAGCTGCATTATGAGTATTTAAGTGTTTTAGCCCTTATGTATAAGCACAATTTATGATCACCTCAACAATAAAATGAATTAAGTTAAAAAATGGGGGAAAGAGGAACCATTATTTTTATAAGCATACAAGTATAAAGTCATTTGCAAAAATTTTTTTAGTTAAATCAGGATTTAAAATTTTCCTTGACAATTAAATGTAACACTGAATCTGCTTGCATTTTTCAATTTTACACACCAAGTTAATGAATCAAGGAGATAATGCTATGCTGCTTTCTTCCACTTGAAAGCCAAATGGTTACTTGGATGCTTCAAAGACATGCAAGTTGGATTTCCATTTCAATAAACCCAAGAGTTGTTTACAATAGTCCAACGTATTCATCCTAGTTAATTAGCATTAATGATGCAGAAAATACAAAAGCATTTATATAGGACATCATATAAAATCTAAATCCACTAGGCTCATTTAAAGCTGCCGTATTGATGAGAGAAAGAGGTATTTGTGTATTTCCAGAAATGATGAGAAGGAATGACAAGGGGGCGGGGGTGGGGGGCTTAGCCCAGTCTAGCATGTAAGGTTTCAAAAGTATATTTGTAAGTAAAATAGCCTGAAAAGAAACACTTCCAATTTACCAGTGGAATATGACTACAGTAGTTCCAAGATGGCTTCAATTAGCAATTTGTACTAAGAACAGAAATATAGCCTCTGAATCTCCACTTCATCAACCTGACCTTTTAAAAGGCCAAATGTCCAGAAAGGTTCAGAATTATTACTTAATGTCCAAGTGACAGCTATTTGAATGCAAAAATGGACTATTGTTGCAAAAAGATAAACTTGAAGACAGTTGTCCTATACAGGCTCCTGGGAATATAAACAACTCTGTAATTAGTGCAACAAGATTTCAGAGCATCTGCGAGGGGAGGAAGGCAAAGGGCACATACTGCATGACATTTCAGCCATGATGGGAATGATGCAAATTAATATAATTTATATTATGCATGTAACATCAGCATACCTTCCACTGAATGCCCTGTTCAGAGACCATCTCTAGTCCAAGCTAAACTCAAAGCAACGGAAACCTGCACTGCTTGTGTGTATAAATACTTCTTACATACAGAAAAGCTAGCAACCATTAGCAAAGGGAACAGAACTAGATTCTTTTGTCACATAACTTAACCTGGCATGTTATGAGGATAAAATTTTAAAAAAATCACTCAATTAAATATTTTTAATCACTGCATCTCCAAGTTATTTATGATTTCTGGATAACTGAGAAAGTTACAAAAAGCTGCTCAATTATATTATGTTCAAAGATGAACATGATCTAAACCCACCAAAAAAAATGCTACCAAAAAAACAAATTAGGAACCTCTGAAAGAAATTGTTGCAAATTTAATCTATATAGTTCAGAATCCCTGCTATGAGGAATTCAAAACTTAAAATACAAGAGAACTTTATACGGACATTGTTAAAAGTAATGTCTAGACTAGAGTTACCCTGGGGCAAGATGGGTGGCCAATAAATTTTACAAATAAAATAAATTCAACATACCACCATTATGCTATCAGTTTTAAAATTCAGAAGAGGTTAAAAAAAATACTAAACATGCCATAATTTTAAATTCTTCTAATCTTTAAATTATTCAGGCCAGCAACCGGCTTAATCAAGATTTTGTAATCTTTTGTAGTCGATAACCCGCGGCTTTGGAGCCGCATGTGGCTCTTTGAGCCTTCCCCTGCTGCTCCCAGCCTCCTCTGCCATTTGCAGAGTGACAGAGACACAGAGGCACTTACACTTTACCTATAATAAAGGTAAAAAACGATATATGCAGTGTTATCTTCATTTTAGGTATCAAAAGGGTTTTGCGGCTCCCAGTGTTTTGTTTTCGGTGGGAAACGGGTCCAAGTGGCTCTCTGAGTGTTTTGGGTTGCCTACCCCTGTCCTAGTCAGACAGGTTTTAGAGTTGGGGTTAGCAAGTCCCAATCTGAGACATTGATCAAGAACCCACAAACCCAGTGCTTAGTTTATTTTTATAGCAACTTTATCTACAAAGATTACAGATGAATGTTTTTATCACATTAAAACAAATCAAAATACTTATGTCTGCAGATGAAACTTTTACAAGAAGCACAAGAAAGCTGGACACAAACACGTTCATATAGGCCAGTGGTCTTCAAACGTGGCCCTTTTATGACTTGTGGACTTCAATTCCCAGAATTTCTCAGCCAGCGTGCCCGGCTGAGGAATTTTGGGAGTTGAAGTCCACAAGTCATAAAAAGGCCAAGTTTGAAGATCCCTGACATAGGCTTTGTGGCAAAAAGATGGAAGCTATTGCTGTCTCTGGTATGTTTTCCCTACCTCTCCATTTACAGCACTAGTATTTCTTGAAGGTTTCTCATCCAAGTACTAGGCAGCTCCAACCCTATTTAGCTTTCAGATATTGTCATTGGCTGCAATACAAAAACCAATAAATCATTCAAGTTATGAAGGAAAGAATTAAGAGGCAAAAAAGAGGTAAATGGTCTAATCTAGCATCATACCTGTGAATACTTAAGAGGTTTAATACCATTTGTAAAGACTGCAAGTAAAGCAACTACCTAAATCTGTCTGCTGACAGTTGGCTGCAATTACTCATGCTTCACCTGTCTAGTGAGCAGTTTCATTGAGGAACATTGTTCTGCTCACTTCTGTAAGCATTTAGATCTGGGACTTGTGCCTCCTTCATCTGACTGCTCCAGCTGAATAGGAGATGCCTGTGGCTGATCAGCCACAATTGAATCCTGGCTTACTGATCCTGAGGCTAACTGTTCTGAATTGCAGTCAGCTGGAGCAACAAACTCAAAGATCAGAGGCAGATTCTGAATCATGACTCATGCATATTTCCTGTCCAACCAAGTCTTGAAGCAAGGCTCAATTCCCTTTAATGGGGTTTATTCTCTGGATAAACCTAACCAAATGTAACCTTAAGGAGGCAGGATTATGATGGTGCTTTTATCCCACCTTTTTTATATGTAATTCAAGATAGTGAACATACCTACAAGCCACTTTGGTCTATGTAGGCATGTCCAACCTGCAGCCCACAGGCCGCATGTGGTCCTGGATAGCTAGTAATGCATCCTCACAAGTTAGTTAAAAAAAAAATAAGAATAAGAGTTGGAAGTGACCTTGGAGGTCTTCTAGTGCAACCTCTGCTCAAGCAGGAAACTTTATTAAAAAAATAAATGGTGTTATTTATATTAACTATAAATACAGTATATATTTTATATGCAGCCCAAGACAATTCCTCTTCATTCAATGCAGTCCAGGCAAGCAAACAGGTTGGACAATTATGGTCTAGTGGTCAAGGCATCAGGCTAGGAACCCGGAGTCTTGAGTTTGAGTCCCACCATAGGCTAACAAAGTTGTTGGGGGGGGGGGGGAAGAGTAGGAGGATGAAGGAGTATTAGCCATGCTCTTGGCCTTGAGTGGTTTAAAGGCAGGGTAAAAATAAAGACTCCTGCCTCCCATTTTTTCCACAACAATGGTCGTATTCCCACAGCTTTCCTTGACTTGGGCCTTCCCGAGCGAGACGGCAGTTCCCATCATTCCCAGGCAACGTCACTCATGCCTGCGCTGGATGGGGAGGATAAGAAGTATCGTCCTTCCTGCCCAGGGAAGGGTTTACGAGCCACTCCAGATTCGGTCGCCCCAGACCCGAATCCCCACAACTCTCACTCTCGGTAGCCCCCCTCCCCACGAAGTTCTTCCCGCTCACCACAGGATAAACTTACCGCCTTTATGGTCGCTTAGCAACAGGAAAAGAGGCGGCCCCTGCACCACAGGATGTCGGGTAAACAAGCACCTCCCTTTTCCCCGGCCATGTAAGAGCAGGTTCCAGGACTACAGTTCCCAGAAAGGATTGCGTGCAGGGCGCCGCCTCAAAGGAAGGAGGCATCTCCTGGCGTGCGAACTACAAATCCCGCCATGCTCTGGGCCAGCCTTTTAAAGCTTTGCGTTCACTAAGGAAATACGAGAGTAGATCAAAGCAATTACAGTGAATAAAATAGATGCACAAAACCACATGTTTTCAACAGGGCTAAGGAATCCTACAAAACTACACGGGTATTCCAGATCCAACCTGTGCATCTTCATCGGGTATTTTTTAAAAAATGTGACAAAGAGTGAAGTTCAAAGGCTACAAAATGTAAGAGATTGCAAGTGACCGTTGGTCATATTCCTTTGCAAACGTACTATGAATTAGAGCCCTTGTTGATCTTGTGTTGATGTTCTACCTTGGCACCACCTGGGGGGGGGGGGGCTAGAAGGAAAATGTGATCTGGGTTGAGATCTAAATGAGCAAAATCCAACTGGCGTTCAAGTTTTAATGGAGAAGCTGTATCTGACGTCTTTTGGAAGACTTTCGGGAGGAAAAGCAAAGCTTTTCGAATCAGCAAGACAGAGACTGAGAAGAGAGGGACTTTTGCGAATGGAAACAGCGCCTCTTGCGCAAGGATGACGCTCATGTGATCTAAAGACTACATTGTTTAAGGAAGTTGTCCCTTCCCTGTGTTGTCGAGATGCTGAATCAAAGCTTTGAAGAAGTTGTTCATACTGTTGGTCTTAAAAATGCACAAAGCTCAGTCTGTAGTGGGACTCTGAAGGGTCCGCAATGCAATATGACCAACTTCTGCAAGAGGAAGGGAAAGAATCTAAGCGGTTGCCACAAAGAAGAGGGGGGACGGTCGACTGATTCTCCAAAGCACCTGAAGGCAGAACAAGAAGCAATGGATGGAAACTAATCAAGGAGAGAAGCAACCCAGAACTAAGGAGAACGACTTGCCTCCAGAAGTTCTGGGTACTCCAACACTGGAGCTTTTTAAAACATTGGACAACCATTTGTTTGAAATGTTATAGGGTCTCCTGCTTGAGCAGGGGCTTGCAGTAGAAGGCCCTGCAAGGTCCCTTCCAACTCTGTAGTCTACTATTCTGTTAAGGCGACAAGAAAAAATAGTAGTAGCTGTCTATGGCTCACATGAGCGCCATCCTTGCACAAGAGGCGCTGTTTTTATTCGCAGGGGGGGGGCGGAAAAACAGTCTCAGTCACTGGGTGGAATCGCCCTGCCTACGATTCCCAGCATGCAAAGCACCAGAGGCGGTTTTTCTGCATTCGTGCGAACGGGCAAGTGATCCAGAAGAGGCAGATTTTCGTTGGAGGGGTCTGGGGTTGCGCGCCATCGGGGTGCAAAGCTAGGAAAGGAAGGAAGCGAGTCAGACAACCAGCCGAGAGCCGACAGCAAAACAACAGCGACCTCCCCCCCCCAAGGATTTGCCTTTCATCTGATCCTTTGGGGGGGGGCTGGAATCGCTCCTTTCCACCGAAAGTAAGAGGAAGCACAGCGATGCGGGGGGGGGGGTCTTCTCTTGGGCTGTGGCTGCGGGATCGGGCAGAACGGAGATCGGGGGCTGCTATAGAGGTGCAACCGATCCGCCGGGAATTCGCTTTCGGCGCTGCTTAACCCGAGCGACGAAAAAGCGGCTCCCCCGAAGGGGGAAAAATGTTGGAGGGGGAAGGACTGATCGGGATGCAAGCTGCAGAGTTAATAGGAGCTCAGTCAATCAATCCTGTCTGCGCCCAGAGTTCTTAAGTCCTCACCGGCTGGGTTCACAGAACTCGCTAACCCCATCCAGAGATCGCCGGGGCTTTGTTCCCGTAACGCAAAGAGCCCAGAAGGTGGATGAGTGGGATGGCCCGATTCAGACAACATGCTTAAGGCAGGAACCCCATGGTTACATGATCAAACTCTGGGTGCTTCGTAACTGTCCAGGGGCCTTGTAATACCATTTGGGTAATCTGGCTTCTGACAAACAAAGTCAAAGGGGAAGCCAGATTCGTTTAATGATCACATGACTGTGGCAAAAAGGTTGGAAAATTGGGCAAAACTCATTTAATAACTGGAAACTTTGATCTCAAATGTGGTCATAAGTCAAAGGCTACCTATAATAACAGAATCTTGAAAACTGGTCCAAGTTTGTTCCTTCTTCCATTAGGCAAAATCAAGGTGGAGTTGAGTTTCTTTGTCGTTCTTCCCTTAATTTTTGGACTCTATTGTCTTTTGTGCCTGTGTCATGCCTGAACTCTTTTGCAAAATGTGAATTTAAAATCCCCCTCCCTCTTTTACTCCTGCAGGGAATCGATTCTCGACAATCATGTTACATACCAAAGTCAAAACAGAAAAACCAGGTAAGATGCCTCGGGAATGTTCTGCTATAAAAATTCAAAGCTTTGGATTTTATCCAACATCTTCTCTCCCGTTCCCATTCTTCAGCTTTGATTGCATTTATTTAAGACAGTAATCTTTTTAAGACAGTAATCCACAGACCTTTGGGGGTTTCCTAGACCTGAAAAAAACCAGGCAACTTCATTGTTAACCTAAAAAAAAAAAAAGATACATCATGAATTCCTCTCTTTGCTGTATGCTGGAGTAACAATCTCTTGTCATCCTCAGATCTTGAGACAGCCAATGCCCGAAACCGTCTTGATGCCGTCCTACAGTGTCTGCTGGAGAAAAATGATGTTGATAGGTAAGAATCAGCAAGTCAGTTCTGAGCACTGAGAAGGAATCTGAAACCTTCTGTTGATATTTGAAAGGTATTAAAGTAGTTGAACGGACCATTTTTGCTTTTTATTAACATTTCCTAAATTATCATTTGTAAGATGTATCAGGATTATAACATCCAGTACACCTCGCCAATATGGCCAAAGTCCCAGCACATCTGACCAGTTAGGGTAGAATACCCCAAACAGCAGAAACCAAGAGTTTGAAGTGCCAAAAACAGAGATGTCAACTGAAACAACTCCTGATTGGTTGAGCCCATGAATAGGCAACCTGTGGAAATTTAGATATTACCACTAGAGACAGCCCTCAACCTATGACCATAATTGAACCTGCCCATTGCAGTTGTAAAATGGGTCGGTCACAAATTTTGAACCTTTCTGCATGGTTGTAAAGCAAGTGCCGTGGTTGTTAAGTGAACCAATGGTTTGTTATGGGCACAGTTTTGCCAAAACATAGAAGTGCCGATTTTCAGCAAAATTGTTATTGAAATGGGGCTGTGTGATCGTGGGACACTTCAAGGGGTCATAAAACCAGCCATGTTGCTGAGCGCCCAAATTTTGGTCATGTGACTGTGAAGGAAGCCATTTGAACTTCGAATCTGGGTTGTAAGTCTCCTTTATTGGGTTGGTCGTAACTTGGAAGAGTTGCTAAGTGAACAGTTGTAAGTTGAGGAATACCTGTATAATACTGGCTATCACTACACCCAGTTTCTGTTGGAAGCATGGCCAATGATGAGCTATTTTGGAAGCTGTAATAGAGTAAGGCTGGGCGTGCCATGGGTTTCCTATCCCAGGCTAAAGATTCTTGTGAATCTCTTCCTATTCTACCAGCTTGTCCAGGGGTAGGCAACCTCGGCTCTTTTATGACTCGTGGACTTCAACTCCCAGAATTGCTGAGCCAGCATGGCTCAGTATGGAAACCTCTCCCTTTCCCCTCAGCATGGCTGGCTCAGGAATTCTGGGAGTTGAAGTCCACGAGTCATAAAAGAGCCAGGGTTGCCTACCCCTGAGCTTGTCAGTTTCTCATTTCTGGTGAGGCTGAGGTGATTGTGAGGAAGAACCTTCAAGGGAGAGTTCATGTTTTGGGCAAAAGCTGATTACGTTTTCCTTCTTTTCTTTTCAGGGAACAAATGGAAGAGGACCCTGGAAAGACGTCATCAGATATACTCAGCAAGTAAGGAGCAAGTATATGTTCAGCTCTCTCCTTTATCTTTGCACGTTGACCTGTCTCAAGCTATTAGCTGAATTCAGGCAAAGAAAGCATTTCTTTCTCTTTTTTTCCAGAGAGGTTCACTTTGTTCAATGGACAATCAGGCATTGAAATAATTGGCTTACGTTTCCTGCAGCATCTCTAAAATCCTTTACTTTGCTCTTCTTTCAGGAGTACCTGGGAGGAATTTGAGAAGTGGGTCTCAAAATCTTTTCTCTTCCCCAAGCAACCTCTAACTTTTAGAATATCACGTGCAACAACCGGAAATATATCTATCTAGTTATCCTTCTTTCTGCTTGCTTGCTTTTGAAGCTTTTTCAAAACCACGCATTACAAATTGTTTACAATATTTTTATAAATATTTATAACATTCATTGCTACCAAATTTCAAGGAGGAGGTTTTACTAATGGTCTGGGACAGCAGGCCCCAAAGAGGTGAGGAATTTTTGTCCTTCCAGCTGGACTACAACTCCCAGCATTCACTGTTGGCCAGGCTGGCTATGACTTCTGGGAATCATAGTCCAGCAATATCTGGAGGCTACAGCTTCCCATTCCTTCTCCAGTTTATAGACTTGCTAACCTTCCTGAGACCAACTTCCTAGAAAAGCGATTTTCTTTCTGGTGGGGCTGTTGCCTACTAGGTATTTCCTAACCTCTCTTGCTTTGCGGTTGCAGGGACCCTTCTCCTATTGCTACAGGAAAGAGGTATGGTTCTTAGCCCTGTTCTTCTTGCCTATCGATGATCACTGAGTGGGAGAGTAGAAAGTTTTCTTATTGAGTTCATCTGAAGATCTAAAGTAAAATCATGCAAGCGTCTGGCACAGAATTCTGCAGCCTGGTTCACATGTTATTGTGTTGAATGCCATCAGGGTCTGGTTCTTATATTGTGTTCAGTGCTGTGTATGAACTTGGCCTGCAGGTTTTGTTTTGGAATTCCTCCCTGGCAGTTCTCGCAGTCAAAGAGACAAGCCAAAGGAGTGGCTTGTTTCTTCAGTTGTGGGAATGAGTGCAGCCAATGCATTCTGCTCACTTCCTTGCACAGCAGTTGGAATTCAGGTCTGGAGCTTTTTGTTTTTTTCTTGAGAACAGAGTTCTCAAAAGCAACAGCCTCTCTCTTAATTTCATCATGCCTTCAGCTGCAACTGACTGGAGACACTGCAATAAACTATATTTTCTTACCTTCTTCTGCCTTGACTTTAAGTTTTGCTCCTTGCAGCCCAGAATACTTGGGGCGGTCTAGAATAAACAAACCAACAAATGACTTGTTGTGGATGGATTTTTAAAAACTGATCGCAAAGTGATTCTTCTCAATAGGAACGGAGAGCAATTTAGATGCTCAATAGCCCATTTCCTGTGCCCTTTAGGTTGATTGAGTTAATTCAAAATGTAGAAGTTTTATACCAGACATGTCAAATTTGCGACATCACAGGATTATTTTGCCGTTGCCGGCAATGGGGTGGGCGCGACTTCCATGTGATGCATCCAGCCCGCGGGCCGGCAGTTTGACACCCCTGTTTTATACTATATGAAGTAATAAATAGGCTGAGGCAAAACAGGCCCAAGGCCTATTGTATAATTGCCCTTGCGCGATTAAGATATATCTGTAGGCGGACAACAAGCCAGCTCAAAACGATGGCAGGATAGAAAACAGCTTTAAACTTTTGCCATTGATATGATCTGAGATAGATCCACAATGTCCCATTATCCTAGCATGCTTGCTGTTCCCAGTGGGATCCAAATTCCATCTTATATCTAAAACAAGTGTGTCCAACTCACGGCCCATGGCATATGCAGCCTTAGAGAGCTAGTAACATCGCCCCACAAGATTGTAAACTTTTAACATTATCATATACATTTATATTCATTAACTATATTATATATTTTATATAAGGCCCAGGTAAGCCAAAAGGTTGGACGTGGCTGGACTAAAAGAAACCAGGTGTGCATTTTTCTTCAGAACCAAGTTGATTTGTCTCGATCAAGAAAAAAAAACAGCATGCAAAAGAATCGAGAAGTTGCCAGATTCCTATACTTTGTGGATACTCTATGACTTTGCTTCCAATCGTTGTATATAATAGCTTGCTACATCTGCCAGTGTTCAGAGTTATAGAATCCTAGCGCAGGAAGAGACGGTTAACTCCAACTTCCTGCTCAGTGCAGGAATCCCAATTAAACCTTTACTAAAAGCTACCTAGCCTCCATTAAAAAAAAACAAAACTTGAGTATTTTCTCAATTCATTCTGGGTGTCTTGTTCCAGGATACTTATGAGATCCTTCCATCAGGTTCTTCAGAGCCCATGGAATGAATCATAATGGAATTGGAAGACACCTCAGAAGTCTTACAGCCTCCTCTACTCAGTGCGAGCTCTCCAGCCACTCGCATCGCACTCTAATGCTTTTGTGTCCTCAGGCCTTCTACCCGATTCTCCCATCATCGCCGCAAAAAGAGGAAGGAGATGGACGATGGACTCACGGAAGGAGGACCACAAAAGCAGAGTAAGTGAAAACACCAGCGCTACCTTGGTAACTTGAGCCAATATCTCCAATATCAGTGATATTGGGGAGACTTAAACTGCTGGCCTTCGGGATGCAAAGCTTATGTTTTGCCGCTGAGTTATGACTCCTCTCTACCACATTCCTTTTCCCCTATCCCAGCCCACCTTCTGTTTCTGAATCCCAAATTCCTAAGTCTTTCTGACAGAGATGGCCTCCAGATATTGCTGGACTTTCAGAGCCTATGGCCAGTAGAGGAATTCTGGGAGCTGTAGTTCAGCAATGTTTGAAGAGACACCAGTTTCTCAATCCTGCATTAGGGAAAATGCCTGTTTATTGGAAATGCAGTTTTCTTACTAAGATGAGGGTACTTCTCTTCTTTTGTAACTTGAATCAGTTGGCCTGGGGGAGACAAAATAATGAAAGCTTAAGAATCTTTTCCTCTTCCATCTCCTTTCTTGTGGAAATAATTTGTTAAAGGTAAAGGTGTCCATGGATGGAACTGCATCTGTGGGGTTCTTGGCAGCATTACAGAAATGGTTTGCAAGTGCCTTTAATCTCCCAGTCTAACCTAGGTGGTCTTCCATATAGGCACTAACAACAACTGAGTTTGCTACTTGTTGAGGTTTGCTTAAGGTAGGTGAAATAGGCTATTTTGGTGCCATAAATCACATTTGGCTCAAAGAACTATGGAGGGAACAAATTCAAATTGTTGGTTTGTTGTCTGGGATTGTTGGGGAGTGTTTTAAAGAGCAAAATTGATGGCCAAATGCAGAGAAGCACAGAGATGACCTTGGAGAAGGAATGCAGCAGCTGGCAAAACTCCAAGTGACCTTATCTTGATTCTCTTTGGTCTAAGAGAGAACAAAGGAGAAATGCTGCCTGGTTTTCAAGCCTCTGTTACTATATAGCCTATATCCATAAAGTAGAATTCCTGTTTGTCTTATGGAGTCTTTTCCTATCCTGGCCTATCTCAAAGGGCTGACAGAGAGGTTTAAGGCACAGCTTTTACTCCTTAAAACACCACAGACCAATCCATTTTTCCTGAGGAGGGGAAGCTTCAGAAGCAAAATGTCTAGTCTTAAACACTTACTTCCCCATTAAATCTCTCTCCAAAGCTTTTCTAAACAAACAAAAATTGTTGGCTCCTCCTATATTGTGGAAAGAAGGGAGGGAGAGAGGGAGGAAGGAAGGAAGGAAGGAAGGAAGGAAGGAAGGAAGGAAGGAAGGAAGGCATCACCCAGCTCTGATTTAAGATCTGTTTCTTAATTTTTAATGCATCTTTATCCTTGCAGACACCTACATCATCAAGCTGTTTGATCGAAGTGTAGACCTGGCTCAATTTTCTGAGAACACCCCACTTTATCCCATCTGCCGAGCTTGGATGCGGAATAGTCCCATGGTGCGGGAACAGGAACGATCTCCCAGCCCACGTCTGCCTACCCTGCTTGAAGATGAAGAGGTACAGAAAAAGATTCCCCAATCCTGCTTCTAGTGGGAAAAGGTTTATCATCAGTAAAACAATAGCTGAGTTTACCACTTTCTGCAAAGTTTTCTCGGGGGACTTAAAATCTGGTGCACATCTTTCTCTCCATAACTCACACAATTGAGGAGGTCAGACTAGTAAATATGTGATCTAAATGAAATCTGGATCTGATCTGGGGTTTTTATGCACACACGTTATATCCTTCTTTACCAATATGGCATCTTGTATAGTAGCCCTTGTTTAGTGACCATCTGCAGTTATGACAGTGATGAAAAAGTAACTTTATGACCAACAATTGCATTTACAACCTTAGGTCTGTAAAGCACAGGAAAGCTGAAGCAAGATCATAAACACAGTTGTGGTTTTAACTTAGCGCTTGCTTAATGACTTGAGTTGTTGGTCCCAATTGATGTTGTTAAATGAGGACTACCTTTAAGTTCATTAAGCTTATAGTTTCCAGAGTTCCCAGGCTGTGGAATACTGAGCCAATGTTTGAGCAAAACTTAGGATTCTTCCAGTGAAACAAGGCTCAGATCCAGATCTATTTTTACATTCTCCTCTGTCTAAAATGGAAAAATCAGGCTTTTCAAGATGGACAGGCTTGCCCTAGATTCTGAAGACTGGTTCAACCAAATGTCCAAATGCAAACCTCAAAGATGATAGATGTCCCAGAGCCATACCCCCACCAACCTGATAATTAACTGTTCGGGCTGATAGTGCAACTCATTGCCATTTTTAGACCCACAGCATCTTCTTTGTCCCTACCAAGATGTTTATACCTGAATAAGGGCTGCAGACGTTTCAGTTTAGAATGGGTTGTTCAAACTTTGCCAACTATTTTGACTACTCCAGAAGTCTTTTGAGTTTGAAACACATGTATGTTTACGCCTTAGGCATAGAGCACTTCTGAAATAGTCACTACAGCACCAGTATTTCTAGGTTGGCCTCAGAGAGCTGGGCCAAGTCTATACTTTCAAATTTACAAGAGAGAATTTGAAGTTTAGAGCATTTTAGATTCAAAATGGATGTGATAACACAACTTTATATACTATATTTCAAGAACAAGTCTTCTGATTAAATCTACAAAAGTTGAATCCTTTTTTTTTTTTTTTTTTTGTTCTCAACTCATCTTTCTCTCCTCTCTCTTAAACTCTATGATTCCAGGGTGATGAAGTTTTAAATGGAAAGATCCAGGATGTCTACAAACTTCCACCACCTATTCCTTGCCAGACAAATCCTGCAGGGGAACCAGTTAACCTACGTATCCCATTCCCACCAGCATCTGAAGAGGAAACAAAAGTAGCTGCTGAAACGGTCAGACCACCATGCTGATTAAGTATGGGGGGAGGGTGAGAATAAATAGGTAGGATGGTAAAATAGCAAATGGCAGGTATTTTAGTGACCTTTTCTCATCTGAATCCCCTCTTATTATTAGCAAGATACAGGGCAGAATGCATCAGGATATTACTTTTAAGAGGACACTAGCATTTTGAATTTGAAATGTATTTTTAATTGTGTGGTTGGATTCACACAACATGCCAAAACCTAAATCAAAGCTTAAAAAAAAAGCATAGTTGCTAAATAACATACTATGTGCATTTAACTGCTAAATTGTCTCCCTTTTTCTGGGTTTCCCCAGGGCATTGAGCCATAAACTAAACAGTTTGGATTTTACACAATGCAAAACATTACGCACGTATACATACACGATATCAGAATAACAATCCCACCAATCAAGCCACTACATTTTCAACTGATTTGATTGTGTTGTGTGGATAGAGTAGGCTTTTGTGCCAAGTTGTCAGAGGATTATTTTAGAATACTTTTCTCAGTTCAAGTGAGGAAAGGGTACTTATAAGAAGTTTTAATTTAAAAGAACGGGGGGGGGATAGAGAACAGGAAGTTGAATGAGTCAGAATAATGTAAGTATAAACTTAAAAATGCAGCTAAAAACTGAAGATGTGCCACCAACTAAATCAACCTAAGTAAAATAAACTGGAAAGGAATTTAGGATTGCAAGTTTCACAGACAGATATGTTTCCAATAAATCTAGCAAAAGTATCAGATGCTCTTGTTGTTAAATTGAAGATGCTTGTTAGGACATTCATACAGTATCTTAGCCCCATAGCAAATAAGTGATCTTGCCTATTTTTTCCTCTCTCCCATAAACGCTCCTAGACTTCTGAATCGGTCCCTTCAATGTCCACCCTCATCTACAAGAACATGGAGAGATGGAAGAAGATCCGACAAAGGTAGGGCTTGTGTAACAGAAAGCCAAAATGTGGGCCAGAGGCAGGAGATCCAGTTATTGATCCCATGCTAGAATGTCTGTATAGTGAGAAACAATTTGTGGAAAGGATAATGCAAAAATCCATGTGCGATGCTTGGCTTGTGGCTTGTTTCCAGGTGGAAAGAAGCTTCTCAGAAGAATCAATTGCGCTATGCGGAGAGCATGAAGATCCTTAAGGAGATGTATGAACGGCAATGAAGAGTGAGGGGCTCTGGTCTTCCTGGAATCCCTTGCCTTCTGGGCTAACGTGACTGCTTCCGAGTTTGTCTATCAATAAATGCAGCTTTTGTTTGCAGTATGTGAGCTTGTAGATTTTGTGAGGCTTCACTTCACAAGAAGACATATCAGGACCCCTATAAATTTATGCATTATGCATGCTACTATGCATGCCTTTACCAACTTAGTTATCCATGATTAGCTAAGCTGTGACCTTGGTTCACACAACACATTCAACCATAAGTTAATGACACTGGCTAGATTCCTGCTGCCAGAAGCTGACCCACCAGACCTCAACCAGTATATTGTGCAAACACAATTCACATGGTTAGTTAATGATTCAGTGAGTAGAAAATTTAGTTATTCGAGCTAGCCATAGGGAAATATATTATGCATACATGGTCATAGATGGCTACTTCTGAACTACCATGTAGCTTGGACCTCATCCAATACAGTTTCAAGTTCAATATTGGCATCCTTGAAGAAGTAAGGGTTCCACAAGGGAATGGTCTGTATGTATAACATCCATGCTTTTTCTCTCCTTCCCTGTAGAGGTTTCAGTGTAAAAAAATCAATCTTGTAAATTACCACGTATTATAATAAATTATCCATGTAAATTAGCTTGGCATTGGAACACATTAATTAACCAGCTGATGCATAGCAGCTGCTGACTCTACTTATAGTGAAAAGATTTTCGGGACCTATCTAGATTGCCAAAATATGAACTGAGATCGTATTTGTAGATAAAGTTCTCCCATATTAGGAACAGTTAGAACTCATTACTAAGCCTAATGCTTCCCACAATGCATCTTGATGTGTTTTTTGTAGTGTTATTTTTAAAGGGGAAAGTAAAGTAGATGAAGGCTAAATTAGTTGACTACAGGTAGTCCTTGACTTGCAACCATTTAGCAACTATTTGAAGTTACAATGGCACTGAAATAAGTGACTTACAGCTGGTTCTCATGCCTAAAACCAGGGCTTTTTTTCTCATAGAACACCCAGAACGGAGTTCCGGCACCTTTTTGGGATGGAACCTTGTAGGGTAGGCAAGGCAGGTTGTATGATGTGTGTGAGTTCCGACATTTTTTTTTTTTTTTTAGAAAAAAAGCACTGCCTAAAACTGTCACAAAATTCCCATGGTCATATAATCAAAGTCTGGACACTTGGCAACTAGCATGTGTTTAAGATGACTGCAGCATTCTGGACTCATATGATCATTATTTCCACTGCCTTCCAACAAGGAGAAGCCATATTTGCTTAACAACCACATAATTCTCTTAACTGCAGTGATTTGCTTAACAACCATGGCAAAAGTGGTTAAAGTTGTTTTGGTCACCACATTGTAAAAAAGATGTTGAGACTCTAGAAAGAGTACAGAGAAGAGCAACAAAGATGATCAGAGGACTGGAGGCTAAAACATATAAAGAATGGTTGCTGGAATGGGGTATGTCTAGTTTAACGAAGAGAAGGACGAGGGGGGACATGATAGCCGTGTTCCAATATCTCAGGGGCTGCCACAAAGAAGAGGGAGTCAAGCTATTCTCCAAAGCGGCTGAAGGCAGGACAAGAAGCAACAGATGGAAACTAACCAAGGAGAGAAGCAACCTAGAACTAAGGAGAAACTTCCTGACAGTTAAAACAATTAACCAGTGGAACAACCTGCCTCCAGAAGTGGTGAATGCTCCAACACTGGAAGTTTTTAAGAAGAGACTGGACAGCCATTTGTCTGAAATGTTATAGGGTTTCCAGCCTGAGCAGGGGATTATTATTATTAAAGTTGTAAAATTGGGTGTGACTCACTTAACAGCTGCCTTGCTTAGCAACAGAAATTCTGGTCCCAATTTTGATCATAAATCCAGGACTACGTGTACTCCGGCCTTGCTGAGAAGGGAAACAAGCCCACTTCTCCTAACGTCTAGCTATTTTGCCTTATGTGGGTTGGATTCATCTAGTATAAACTATCTGGATTCACACATGATAAGCCATCCAGGGTTTAGAGAATGCATAAGAGCCAAGGAGGCAACTTGACTTAGGTCTATCTATAGCCTATTATGCAAACATGTGTTTCTCTATCTTCCTCCACAAAGCTCACGATAGGTTCCAGAGAGCATTCTCAACTTAACTCTTTGCAGCTGGGCTGACAGCCAAGGATTATTGACTCGGCAAATATTGCAGATTGGGTTTTTTTAACTCACATGCAAAGATATACGATGCTCCAGCACCCGACACCAATTCTTTGAGGACCAGCCTGATTTCAGATGACCCTGTGCAGCTGGTACATCAATCATGCACACATGACTCAGTTGTTCCCTAAGGTACAAGCTGAAAATCCTTCCCTGACATCAGCTTTCAATTGTGGCTGCATCAGAATGTTCTCTTCTGCTATGGTTGAACTACTAATAAATCATACTGGTAATAGCAAATCATAGGTGGAGAAACCATAAAACATGGTTTACAATCCCAGTGCAATAATGGTAAAAATATAGCTTGATGTGTTGCATGAATTTGGAGACCGTAAGGCTGAAAAGGGAGATTTTGGTTGTGTTCTGACCCTTATGCTAAACAGTTGTGTTCACTTAATGTTTAATGCCTGGTAACAAACTTAATACTGGTCTGATTTATACAACAGATCAAGACCTCCCATCATGCTGAATCCTAAACCACCTGACCAGATTATAACCTACTAAACTCCAACATGTGATCCCTTCCTTCATTGGGGAGTTCATTAACCATTTTCTATACTTCCTTTTTCAACTCATGCAAAGGGCTTTCATTTGCCATTTGCTAAGTGTTTGAAATCCTTAATTTCAAAAAGCCACCTAGCCTTTTCAAAGCAGCATTTAAATGTTTAAGAAGTAATTTGGGCAAAGGTTTCATTTAAGATGTTATAGATAGCTATAACTACTAGAATCTAGAACAGTGGTTCTCAACCTGTGGGTCGGGACCCCATTTGGGGTCGAACGACCATTTCACGGGGGTCGCCAAACAACGCAGTCCGCCATTTTTCCCCCCTTTTCCTTAGCTGTGCTACTCCCTTTTATTCTATTGGCTTTTGAAAGCCAATAGAATAGACTCTCTTGAATAGAGTCTAATTCTATTGGCTTTCAAAAGCCAATAGGAATTGTCCAGGCTGTCTCTGCCCTGCTGAGCCCGCCAAAAGTCCCATTCTGCAAACGGTGCTGCACCAGTTGAGTAGTCCTCGACTTACGATCGGTTGGGGGTCGCGGCATTAAAAAAGTTGAGAACCACTGATCTAGAAGAATCTAGAATCTGTAGAGTAATCTAGATCAGGGGTGTCCAACCTTGGCAGGCTGGCTGAGGAATTCTGGGAGTTGAAGTCCACAAGTTTTAATGTTGCCAAGGTTACGGACACCCCGATCTAGAAATTCAATTTAAAATCTATAAATATGTAGAGCAGCGTTCTACCTATACAGCAAAAGCCAAATAGGGAGAGTTATAAAGGAAATCACATTTAGAACAAAGCCAAATATAAAGAGGGCAGTCTGGCCAACTCCCAGGTAAACCATACGCCAAAGTGCATGTTAAATTTTTGCAAAAGGCAGTTTTTTTTAAGCTGTGTGGCACCAACCCAACATTTGCCCCAGAACTGCATCTTGAAAATACGTGCTTTTACTGTTGGCTAAGTTTTTAAAATAACTTTGGTAGCTTTCCATTGGATTTGTCACCATCTCTATTCCTAGTTCTGGGTGGAGATCAGCTTTTTGGATTTGCTCATTAAACTTAATGTAGACAAGTACCAACACATTCAAGAAATAATTCCTTTCATGGGCATTGTGTATCTGGTTGTATGATTTGCATCCACCTGGCTTCAAAATTCTCCTTGGCACAATTCAAAAACCTTTTATTCTCTACTTAGTTAATGAAAAGCATTTTCTTTTTCTTTTAACATGGGAGCTAGGAATTATCATCTATAAAGGATGGCTGTTGATTTACACCTATCCCACTCCCTGCTCCTGCCCCTTTTCTACAGAAGAACCCATAACTTATTCCTTCTCCTTAATTTCAACAGCAGGGGAACCTTTTATGGGAAATCCTAGTTTATCATCCACAGAATTTGTTTTGCACATCTGTACCCATTAATTGGAAATTTGATCTGTTTTCACAAAGCACAGATTTTATTTCACCCTCCCCACCTTTGCAACATGGGCATAACTGAAAATGCAAATGATATGCAAGCTCTTGTAATAAAAATCAAGAAGCACATAAAAAAATGGGTTGAGATTAAATATCAAGATCAAGCTAATGACAACAGGTGTTTCAACCAGCCTTAGTTATTTAAATAGCTGGTAGCCCTGTGACACCAACCTGATGGAGTATCAATAATCCATCAAGCTGGGAAGGTCAAACATCACTATTTCTATGTGCTGCTTATATTCAACATCCCTTCACTGATAACAGGCAATCGTTATTTAGCAGAGAAATTGTGAAATGAAATCTGCACAATAATTTATTCTGCAATTATAGTCTCAGGTTGGACACTTGAATGGCAAAGAGAATGACAACAGTCTAAAAAACTTCTCCCAAAACTGTTAATCTTATTCAACTCTAGCAGATCCATCTGTTTCATCCAGTCAATAATAGCTGCATTGCAACGTAGCATTTAAAAATGTTTGTGCTATAGAATGGGTACCATAATAAAAAAAAAAATAGGTAACCAGATCAGTTTCTCTACTTTCCAAAAGCTAAGTAATGGTCAAGGCTGGAAAGTGCTTTGGTGAGAGAATACAAGGAAATGTCTGGGTTATACAGTAGACTGGAATTTGGAAAAAAAAACAAACCAGAAGACAAACCACTTCCAAACTTGGAAACTTTAAGACTTCTGGACTTCAACTTAAGTCCACAAGTCTTAAATCTGCCAAGTTTGGAGACCCCTGCTGTAATCCATGTTTCTCTTTGGTATGCACACATGTCCCTGAAATGAACTAAGCTCAGGAGACTCTTATTGGTAATTAGATTTGATCCATATAAACTGCATAGCAACATGGTTAATTTCTCGCGCCAACTTGCAGTCCAAGCACAACTAATTTAGTGCAAGGACACCCCATTGCATAGCTCAAATTCTAGCAGCAACTAGCAAAAGTCCCCGGCCCTTTGAAAAGCCTACTTTCTCTGTAATATCCCACACATTTCTAGAACATCAAACATTCATCTTTTTAACCACATTCACACCCCACAGCTCCTTCATTTCAAGCTGCATGGGCAATTGCGTTCCATTCCATTCCATTCCCCTAAAGATAGGATAGTAGCTTCATGTTTATCGGCAAGTATCCCTCAGGCAACATTTGGTTCGTAAGCAAAAAGCACTTTATTGCAAATGGGTACTTATACAAGGAAGTCATTTCAACACGAAGAGTGGTACAGAGTAAGCCTGCAAAGAAAGAAAGATGTTTCTAGTCAGAGGAAGAAAATGGCTCTCTTCTCCAGTAGATGGGCTGAAATTTTACAACAACGGTGTCTTTGCTGTCAGCATCCCAGCAGCACTGAGCAGAGTAGGAAAGGAACGTTACTTCCTTAAAGGCTTAAGAGTGAACAACCTTATACCTACAAGTAAGGGGAGTCCAAGCTCACAATGCTGATATCTAATGGGGGGGGGGAATAT